AAAATTTGGTGTAACGTGACACAAAAAATCGCTATTTTTATTGGTTAAAATTAGGGGTGCACTACAATGCAGGTGCATGAAAAACTTAAACCCTAATATTATTATATATTACTGTTTATTAACTTAAATTTACATTTACTAATATTTAAAATATTTAATAAGTTTATAGATTATATCTAAATTGGCTGATAATTAAATCAAATCTATACTAGTTTTTACTTTTTATTACTATTAATACTAGTAATAATTGTTAAGCTTTGGACTCACTTAATTTTAAATACCCCTTGTGTGGAGAGGATATTTTTTCGACAACGAAAAATAAATATTTAATAAATAGTCATTATCAAATAATAAATCTTAAGAACATGTATATATCTTTATTATTAAGTATAAGAATCATATTTATTATAACTAATTAATTAAACTAAATAAATTTATAAACGTTCACAACTTAGACCATGCCTTTCTAAATATTATGTAGAATTATCATTTATTGTTTCAATTTCACACTCTAAATTGTTTACAAATTTTTGTTTTTTTCTCACAGCGGCTATAATGCTAGACTTGGCCATTGATTGTTGATGACTATAGTTAGAATCATCATCAAAATACGCTTCAGATTCAGATTCAGATATATGTTCTTGAGATCTTTTTTGAGCCACAGTTGAAGAAAAACCAATTGCGATTGTTGCAGAAGTTCCTGCTTGTAGTTCGAAAGCTTGTAGCATTTAGGATAGTCATGTAGATAGTTTCTCTTGAATTCGGAAAAGTGGTGATGCCAGTAAACCTGATTGTCAGCTTTAATGATCACTTCACCATCTTAATTCTTGTTTAATTCTTGTACTACAGCTTTTAGCTCCTCAGATGTAAATTCACCTTTACAATATTTGACATCCCATGTCATGTTTCGAAATTCTTCCTCTGAACCTTTATAAAATATCAACTCAGTAGTACAAAGTTCTATCTCGTCATACTATATACCCCAGAATTTGATAATGAAATCAAGACGCCGCCCCAATCATGTTGAGTTGACATTTCATCATTTGCATTATGTCGTCGAAAATTAAATGCTTCTTCTTGCGGCCTGTGAGAGGTCATAATTACATATTTAGCAAGAAAAGGCATAAAAGACTTGCCTTTTTGCTCAACATTCTCAGGTGTATCATTCAAATATTTTACAATATCATTCCAATTCATTGACATATACCATTTATCAAAAAGAACTATTTCATACCTTTTATACCCATCCCACCAATTAGAACCTGATTTTTGTTTCTTAGGCTTAGCATAATATTTATTAAAAAATAATTTAGAAACCAGTCCAGACTTCCCTGCTCTACCCTCACTGTAAATGTAAAATGTAAATGGTCTCCAAAATTTTTTAAGTTTTTTTATTCAAAAGCTATTCTTTTTTTCTTCAAGAAAAAAGAGATCTTGCAAAGATCGAAGCCAATATTATGGATATAATGTTTTAATATTCTCTAATATCTCACGTGTAGAAATGCCTTCTTCAAGAATTCTATTAACACAATCCATATCCTCCATATGACATTTTCTAATTTTGTTTAATCCAAGAAATTCGTTTTGAGAAGAAAGAAATCTATATATACCAAATTCCCATGAGCCTAATTCAACACCATCATCAACCCAATGTGCTGATATACGATTATCAATACATTCAACAGAACAAAAAATACAAATTTTTGAACGATCAAAATAATCACAACAACAGTTTTTAGTATGTGCAGGATTTTTGCAATGATTCTATGCTTTCATACTATAGTCATGATTTTGCTCCAAATTGCCATTTAAACGTATTGGAAAACTCATAGAATGATGCCCAAACAAAGATTTAACAGACTTCACTGTTTGCCGATCTTTAAATTGAAAGAAACATTGTTTATGAAACTAACCTTTCTCAGTAGATTCAGGTTGGCCGGAAGAGTAAGTAAAACCCTTTGCTTCTAATTCTTTATATTCCTCCTGAGTACGTGGTAGAACACATTTGTATTCAATACCAAGAGATTTATATGAAGAACACACAAAATCGTTGCATTCATGTAACTTACAGCAATTTACACACTTAGTATTTTTATAATGCCAATGATTCTTTTGGCATTTTGCACATAATGGAACCTTACCAGTTCGAGCAAAAATGTCTTTACGACTTTTTTTATCATTTTTAGAAAGGTTTTTATTATATTTAAAGGAATTTATACAAGAAATGCAATAAAATACGGTTGCCATGATTTGGCGGAATCTATAATTGTTTGCCATTTTAGTTTTACCCAGGCAAAAGAACGTATTTATATAATTTTTTATCACATATCAAAATTTATACATATATATGTGTTCATATTTACATCATGATTTATTAATATTCAGATCTGACTCAAAGAGTAAAACTTTTGATTACCAAAATTGATTCATTCTCAAGTCTAAATCCATTTTCATTTTATTTACTTTAAAGTAATTTGATTGCCAAATCTAACATTAAGAGTAATATAATCACAAAACATCGCAAAAACATGAAAAAATATTTTTATTATTACATGTTTAAAATAATAACTTTATATATACAAATAAATACAAATTACATAAATTTATATTCTTTAAAATTTCTTCCAATAAAAAATAATAAATATTTAACATCAAACCACTCTTGCCCACTTGTATCCTTCCATTCACCTTCATCTTCCTAGTCAATTTTAAAAATTTTTATTTCATCAAATCTTGTTGATTTGACTTTTTGTTTATACAGCATATCTTTATCGAGATTTTGTAAAACAATCTCGACAACTTGCTTTACCGTTGGTCCTTTGCCACAAATTGTGGCCATTTCAATATGGAATTCTTCTTTAAACAAATACAAATAAGAAAATCTAGGATAGTTTGGTTCAGCAAGGAAAAAAGCTATTTTTTCTAATTGTTTTTTTTTAATACTTTTGATTTTAAAATTTTATTGATACCAAAAAATAATGAAGGCATTTTATATTTAATTTAAAAATTTCAAGTAAATTTTGGTAATTCCGTATATTGGACCAGCTTCATTTTTAAACAAATAAATTTGAAATCTCTAAATTCTGATGTTACTGTATGTAATTTTTCCAAATACAATAATAGTATGAAATTTTAACAACCAATAAATGTAATTATTTTTGGTTATCAAAATTTTACGTAAACATGTGTAAATTATGTAATTTATCTTTTTTTAAAAAAGTAAGAAAAACGATAATTGCAGATATTTTATCACTTAATATGTAGACCAACACAAGCAAATTTGCCTGCGTTTTTGCACTTTTTTAGCTCTGATTTACTTTTTTAAAATGCTAAAATATTTA